AAATAGTTCATAAGGTAAGTTGCAGGATGAAGTCTCACACTGCACCTGTGCCAGCTCACCCAGGACAGGATTCATCTTTTTGTTTCAGCATATCCACGCTACATTTAGGAAATATGTATAGGGAAAAACATAAAGGGGTTCAGTACTATGCTTGATTTCAGGCATCCAATGGGGGTCCTGGAAGTATCCCATGTGGATAAGGGGGGGATAACTGTATTCATTTTACTGACATCACACTACTTTTCCTGTACACTGCTGTGGTAGGTGAAATCCAGGATGGTTCTTTGCAGAATCCTTGGCATTATTTATCAAAACAAACGACTCCCTGACTTGGTAAGTAGCCTCCCACATAAAAATTTAACCATGTGGCCCTAACTGGTTTGGCTCAGTGGATAGAGCGTCGGCCTGTGGACTGAAGGGTCCGGGTTTGATTCCGGTCAAGGGCATGTACCTTGGTTGTGGGCACATCCCCAGGTGACACGTGAACTCATTTTTTGTTGTTGATTTTTCTTTGTTAAATGGCATTTAAATATATAAAATAAATATCAAAAATATAAGTCTTTGACTATGGTTGCCAATATAAAAAAATTTCTATATGTGACACGGGACCAGAGTTAAGTGAGGGTTTTTCAAAATGCTGACGCGCCGAGCTCAAAAGGTTCGCCATCACTGGTGTAAGGGCTTTATAGGATTAATTGGCTGTTTCTTTAAGTCTATCCATTCCTCATAATGCCCCTTTCAAATGTGAGGCATGTTCCTCATAATACCATGGTGCATCTGTTACAGAAACGCTTCACTACGTGGAGATGCTCAAACATGGTTGTTTTTTGTTGTAACAGAGCTCAGGCCCGGGGAGGAGGGGGTGGACCGTGCAGGAACATGTTAACAGAACAGGCCTCGACTGCTCAAGTGCTGCATGTTCCAAGGAAAGACTGGCCCTTGACCAGCCCCGGGAACAGCCTCTCCCTTCTCTCTCGCAGGCTCACAGAGGAGTCTCTGCTCCCGCTAGAAATCATCTAGCCCTGGGAAGAGCAGTCTCCCTGGTGTGAGCAAGGTGCCAGGTGCCAAAGCATCAGAAAAGACATGCTGCCCTAGCCAGTTTGGCTCAGTGGATAGAGTGTGGGCCGGTGAACTGAAGGGCCCCAGGTTCGATTCTGGTCAAGGGCACATGCCTGGGTTGTGGGCTCAATCCCCAGTGGGGGACTTGTAGGAGGCAGCCGATCCATGATTCTCTTTCATCATGGATGTTTCTATATCTCTCTCTTCCTTCCCCTCTGAAATCAATAAAAAAATAAAATAAAATAAAGACATGCTTAATACATGGATCTCCAAATGACAGAGTGGACAAAAATTCCCGTAACGTTACCCAGCAGGTAGGAACAAGGCCAGGAAGTACAACCAGGTGGTCTGCCTAGAGGGTCCAGGCTCTCGTCACTGCTCATTTACAATTTAGCTGAGACCATTCGATTGTGAGATGTGTAACGTGCCTGTGAGCAAACATTGTAAATCTTTACCCCGAAAAACACCAGGATGACATCACAAAGCTCTTTCCCAACGGAGACGGGAGGAGTGTGAACACAAAGGGGAGCGCACCCAGAGATCAGGTGCCCCGAGATCCCCGGCCCCGTGTCTTCATAGAGGACCTCCCCGCCCCCACTCCCTCCCAGCGAAACACACAGATCGCTGCAAACGTGCCTACGCCTGCAATGAACACGCTTCAGTCTCACGTTATGCACATTTAATAATACAGGAATTGTCATGACCCCATATTCTGTAATTTTCTCTTTCTTAAAGCAAAGGCTACACGTTCCAACAGTGGGAACAAATAGGAAATGAGAAATAGCTAACATCTGTGCAATGGAAACACATAGCTTTAACCTGGCCATCACATCTTTGTAGAAATAATGGCCGCCAGAGCGGGTATTTGCAAATCGAATCCCTTGGAGACAGATCTGTGTAGATATATTTGGAGAGACAAGGCCCTTTGTCACCACGTTCTCCATACTGTCCTCACTCAATTCAATCCGGAAGGGTAAGCATTTCCACGGTGACTTAACTGATTGTTTTTGTTACAATTGTTTACACGTAGATGAGCCTTCGCCTCAAAGCTGTGACTTATTTTTTATTGTCGCAAACTGTTGTTTAGTATTCGTTAGGTGTTCGAACTTCCTGTTCTAGCCGCTGGGACGTTGCAGGCTTTCGACTGGTATCCTCTGAGCTTCAGGGTCTGCCCGGGTCGGGTGGAGTTTGCAACCTGAGATTTCCCATCACTGCCAGGAAGGACCATGGCTCGGTGTGCCTGCTGTTTGTGTCAACCATGTGGACGCTGGTGACCAGCCGCTGCTGTCTTCTGGACGCCTAGAGTCTTGGCTGTGTTCTAGACAAAGAGCGCCAATAAAATCCCTGGGTGCTGAGTTCCTAACGAGCTCACCTAGGAGACACTCCCCACATCCGGTCATAACTCATGGATGAAGCTTCACTGAAGCCCTCAGAACTCCTAACGCGTGTCCCTGGTTTCCTCTGGGCTGCTGTCCTTGAACCTTTTCCCTGGGCCGAGTTTGCTTTGGATTCTTTTGCTGTAATAAGTCACAGCTGTTGAGGATGCTCATACGCCGGAGTCTCCAGAGTGAACCATCACCCCCGGGGTAGCCATGGTGCCTTGTCAAGTCTTATCGATCTGGCCCCAAAAGCCTGTGTAGTTTCTCTTCGAAGCCAACATGCCATATACCGACTACATAGGCTGCTTTATACAACCACTCTGTGAGGGACCCAGATGCTACAATAAAAACGTAGTGCTCGTGCGGCCATTCACTAACACACACACGTAATGGTGTTCACTAAGGAAATGAAAAGGTAAAATGAACAATATGAGACAGTGGCTGGTTGTGGGATGGTGGGAAAAGTGGCTGAGGTCTGGTGTGGGTAAGACAGAAGATAACGGGATTCACTGATGGCTTCAGGCACCTCAGACACAATGTCTTTCACCAAACACATGCCTTAGCCCTTCCCTTCCTTCCCCCCACCTCAAACCCGGACACTGTCTGTATTTTCTAAGAGATATAGCAGATTATGTAGCCTTTAAAGAGTGAGCATGGTTTCTCCCGCTCAGCCTGA